CGGAGCCTCTTCACGGGCTGCAGCCATACTGCTGCTCTCTGCTTCCTGCTCCAGAGGGAAGATAACACGTATTCCTGGAGGTGCTCCTGTGGCTTCCTCCTCTGGGAGTTACTGGTAGAGTGAGAGGTCTTGAAGCTGGGAAAAACAGGGCCACAGAAAGAGAGGTTTGAGTCTTCTCTGTTGGGATGGTGAGTTTATGGCCCTGGGAACACAGGGTTATGGATCCCAAGGAGCCTGCAGCTCCAGCTTGGAACCACGGCCTCTAGTAACTTGCTCCAAGCCCTGAGAGAGGCAAGACTGACTATTTTTAAACACAAAAGTCAAAACCAGCTCTTGTAGTGCAGTGCAACTGTTTGTGACCTACTTCTGGTGTGATGTTCCAGGGAGGTGGCCAGGCTGGGGGGGTTGGCTGCTGTGCATGCAGGGATACTCTGCTAGGAGCAGCTGGAGCACAGAGTCAGGTCTCTGCATTTCATGGGGTTGTGCTTAAAATGGTGGTGGCAGCTGCTGCCAGCCTGCCTGGGAGCTCTCAGTGCTGCTCACATCACCTGGGGTTTGGTAGAAAAGTATTAATAGCCCTCAGGGGAGGTGAAATAGGAAAGGGAAAAGGAAGGGAGACCTGCAGAAGGTGAGGATTATTTTTATTTTATATTTTTTTCATTGTACCAGTTCCTTTTCCTGATGTATTTCTGCATGTTTTGTTTCAGGTGTGTGAATCAGGATTGTCAGGAGGAGTTTGTCCTGAGAAAACTCCAGGTGAGGAAGGAAGCAACATCCCTCCCTGTCTGAGGGGGGCTGGGGGGACAAGAATAATGTGTTCCTGGAGATATCCCAGTGAATAAAGCCAAGATCAAATGCAACTCAAGGGTGCAGTTTTCCATGGAGCTGGTTTTTTTTTGCTTAGGAACTGCTGCCTTAGAGGGATGAGGGAAGGGTATTGGAAGAGTCAAAGCACTCAGGGATGAGCTGCCTTTACTCTTGCTTTCCTGACACCTTCCTGTGTCCAGGGCAGCTTTTCTGTCTCTACTGGGACTCGCTGAGCCTGAGTGGCCCAGCATGTTATTCTGGCTTCATAGACAGGTCCCACCCAGCCCTTGCTTGTTGGATTTGAATCAGAATTTAAAATTTTTCCTTTTTGCTGAAGTTCAGACCTGGAAGGGGCCACGAGAGGTCACCCATTCTTATCACCTGATTCAAAGGCAGGATTAAATGTACCCACACCCCATCCCAGGCAGATGTGTATCTGATCTGTCTTCTGAATCACCAGGAACAGGGATCCCACAGTCTGAATTCCTGTGGCTGCTGGTCGCAGCAGTTGGGAATTTTTCCTTGTCTTTTAGAATTTAAAATAAGATCCCATATTTCAGCTGAATTAAAACAAAATCATTATTCCTTGTAATTGATAGATCACTTGTTTTAGTGTGTCCTCAGATGACACTTGCCTCTTGTGCAGCAGCCCTGGGCTGTGGATTCATTCTCCTTTGCTCACGTTTTACTCTCATTTTACCACCTCTCTAAAGTGGGCCATGTGTGCAAAGAGCAGGAATCTCCTCCTGGCCTGGGAAATCCAGAGCCTGGCAAATCCAGAGCCTGCTTTGGAGGTGGTTTCTAGGAGGCAAATGTCTGCCATCCCCCTGGGACCTGTGTGCAGCACAGTCTCACCCCCAGGTTTGGTCATGCAGAGGAGCTGTCAGTGCTGGGGAGTCAAGCTGACCTGCTGAGCACATCCCAGGATGGCATAGGTTGGGAAGACTGAGTCAGATGGGAATCACAAGGGAGTCCTGATGGCATCTCAGCCTAACTGAAGTTCCCTTTTGGGACTTTCTGTGGTCTGCCCCAGCAATTGTGGTAGGAGAGTTCTCCCTTATCCTGGAAAGCCATTAATCATTCACAGAATTAATTGACAACTCCATTAGCAAGAGGTCAAGGAAGGAAGAAGGGACAGACTCGTGGCTGAGGAACTGGCTTGGGGCCCAGGAGATCAATGTGTAACTGCCACAACCTGCCTGGGAGATCATCATGGGCATGTGGGGCTTGGTGTAACACACAACCCATCCCTTTCTCCTCAACACACCTGCCTGCCCTGTGGTTTCTTGACGTGCTGGTTGGTTTTTTACACCATGAACACCAGGAGGCTGTGACCACACGTGCAGTGTAAGTGAAAATTAATGACACCCTGCATGCATGATTGACTGCAGGGAGAAGGATATTCTGGCTTATTTAACTTTTCCCTTATTGTTTCATGAGTACTGCTCATCTTTTGCTTGCCTTCCCCTTCCCTGCAAACAGAGGAATACCAGCATTTGAAGAGTATTTTATTGGGTAGGTGGGAAAACAGGGATGTAAAGAAAATGCAGCTTTGATTTCCCTCTTTGTTGTTAGTTCTATAGATCAAGGGTGTCTTCAAAAAACTTGCCTGTCATTTGATAATGGAAAGTGAATACCAGAAAGGATGATGCAAATAATGACTCCTCTTATTTCCCCCCCCTCCCCCCCATAGTGACCAGTATTCTGGAGAGCACTAGAGGAGCAGGAGGTGCACTCACCATGGCTGCTGAGCTGGATTTCTCCCCACCTGAAATCCCTGAGCCCACCTTCATGGAGAATGTGCTACGTTATGGACTCTTCTTTGGAGCCATCTTCCAGCTCATCTGTGTGCTGGCCATCATCCTGCCAGTCTCCAAGTCCCACAAGACAGTAAGCAGTGCTCCTCTTGATGGGTGTAGAGGGAAAATAGGATGGGAGGGAATGTTGAGTGACTGCTGGAGACACAGTGGTCTGGGCTGTGTTTGATGAGGGTTTCATTGTTCACTCTCCTTCCTCCTGGGTTGGCCATCTCCAGCTTTGGAGTTGTTTACACCCAGATTAGAAAGTTGGGAACAAACACCTGAGCCTGAATCTCTCTAAATACCAGTGACAAGAGTGCCCTGAAGCCCTGGCAGATTGTCCTAAATGTAGGTGCTGCTCCTGACTGCACATGAGAAGGCTGTAGTCCCAGCTCCATATTGTCATCCTGCTGCTGATTTGCTCTGTTAATTAACAGGCAGGATGTCCCCTTTGCAGGACCTGCCTTTCAGGAATTTCCTTTGGGCTCTAGTTTGTGTGCAGTTTTTTTGGAAACAAGATACAGGGGAAATTTCTAGTACATTGTGACGTGAGGAAGGCAGTTTTCAGTACTGACACCCAGCCCTGTGCCAGCAAGTGAGGGGTCCTTTGATGAGTTAGTACAGGAGAAGGTTAAAGTGAAAGGCTGAGAGAGCTGCAGGACTCCAGTTCCTCTAGGCTGGGCCACAGCAGGATGACCTGCATCTGCCTGGCTCTTCTGGTAACAGCTCCATGTGCTGGGGACAGATCTTCGTGTTGGTGATTGGGCTGCAAGTTTGGTAGTTTGATACAGATTTTGTCTTAAGTGTGTGTGGTGTGTTTTCAGTTACAGCTCAGCATGGGAAGCTCTGTTTCCAAGCTGTCTTTATTACCATGTTTGCTCCCTCTCCTGCATGGAAATTTTCAGCCTATCTGGGGGAGAGGGTTCCTGAGGGTGAGGGAGAGCATGAAGGATACAGTCCATGACCCAGCTCTCACCTCTCACTGTTGGTGTGATGTGGATCCAGTGTCCTGGATTGTGGACACTGCCCTGGCATGGGCACCTGCTCCCTCCTGCCAGTCCTACCATGGGAGCTGCAGCTCCCAGAGGGAGATGGAGCAGGCTGGTCACCATGCAGTGGCACTGCAAGTCTGCACCCTTGTTCTGCAGCCCCCAGCACCCATCTGTCAGTCCGTGGTTCCCCCTGATAAGTTACAGAGAAATACTGAGTAGCCTGGTTCTTGAAAGCTGAGAAGAGTGAGAGCTTTAGTTTGAAGTGGGAAACTGAAGGCCAGGCCCCCAATTAAAATGATAAAGCTCAAGGACCTGTTCATGCTTTGATGTCTGCATGCTCTACTTTTTATTGTCTCCATGTGTAATTGTCTCAAATCCTCTGGATTTACTGTCCATGTGAGTCACTTACAAGACCGTACACACCAAAGGCTACCCCTCCAGATCTTGGGAATGATGGCTAGGATGCTGAGGATGCTTCTTCTCAGTCTTGGAGGCTCCAGGCTTTGAAGTCTCCCTCAGTTTGGAGATGAGAAAGCAGCAGTGTTCACTTGACAGCAGCAGGAGGCTGCAGCCCTGAGCAGTGACTGCCTGTTGCTCTGCTCCTCCCAAGCACCGCCTCGGGAAGCCAGCCAGGCCTCCTTCCTTGGAAAGCCACACAGATGTGAACTGTAATAGCCCAGTAGCTTGGGAGATGTTTAAACCAAGCTCCTTGATTAAAAGGATACTGTCAGATCCTTGCCTCCCCCTCCATTATCTGCAGCACTGGCTTGGAAGCTGGAAACTAGCACGTCTTGCTCAGCCGTTTTCTGTGTGTCCTTTTCCAGTTGGCACACTCTGACTGATAGGAACCAAGATGCTAAAGCAGTATTTATACTCAAATGCATTTAATGAAAGGAGGCAATCTGCCTGTGTGTGCTTTCTCAGATGAGACTGGCTCTGTTCCCTTGTGTTTTTACAAGATAACTAGACTTTATTTCCCATGGCTGAAATATTATCTGTCATCTCCCCTGAAGGAAACAAGCAGGATATCTAAGCATTCCTTGTTAGTCCAGGTGAAGAAAGCTTTGCTTGCAGTTCCCTCCCCTGAATTTTGGGCTTGGTTTAGAGCCTCTGAATTTCACATTCTTACTGCTGTTTTGGGGAATGTTTTTTGTCTTGCACATGAGAAATATTAACATTTGGCAGAAATACCTGCTGAGTATTTACACACACACTGGTGATTATATGGTATCTTCTCCTTTTCCTAATTTGAACAGTTCTCATTTACTGTTGATTTTCTCCTTGCCTTTAAAGTTGGTTTTGTTTTTCTTCTCCAAAGCCTGTTTTAGACACTTAAAGCTTTTAACAGCTTCCCTGGTAACAAGCTGTTTCTGTGTATAAACTCACCAAAAACCACATGCAGAAGCAGCAGAGATGGTGCTGCTCAAGTCTCATGAAATGAGACTCAGTTTGATGTAGCTGTGTTCCAACAGAGATCCCCAGCATTTGCTTCCCTTGGCTGATACTCAGATTCCCAAAGTGAGCTGTCAGCACATTGGGAAACAAAGTTACTGACTGTTTCTTCTTTCCTTCTTGCAGGACTCGGACAGTTTTGAGCCTAAGAATTCAGAGACAGTGAAGAAGCCAAAGGCAACTGCTCCACAGATAAGCAAGAAACCCAAGAAGGAAACCAAAAAGAAACGATAAAGCTGTGCCCAGTGAGCCTCAAGAGACATGATAATCAGAGATAATCATGCTTCCTCAGAGATGACATCAAAGACAACTAACCATATGAGAGGGTTTTCTGGCATTGCCATGCTTCACCTTTTGGGGACAAGGAACTTACAAGAGTGGAAGGGGCAGGGTTCTGCTGTAGATTTCTTAGAGACAAAGAGGACTTTACATATCCAGGACTTCATTTGACATGTTTAAGGTGTCAGTCACCATGAAGGTGACTTCTTCTGTCATTCCTAATGGGTAGGGAGGGCTGTTGTCTGAGCTCCTCCACGCTGGCCAGGAATTGGAGCAAAGTCCCTCTGGGAGGTGGAGCACGAGTTTGCTACTTTGGATACTGGTTTGTGTTGTATTTTTTGAAGGCAGAAGGATCAAATGCATCAAGGATACCACACTACACAGCTTTGTATTCATCTCTGTTGTCATCTAGTCTGAAATACACAGCTGAATTTTATGGCTTAATAATAATGTCTTTGTCATATTCTTTAATTCTTTAGGTAATAACTCATGGGGTTCCAGCCTGCTGTAGATGAAAGCTTTCTTTTCCCCAGCATCCCTCCCTCTTTCTCATTTGCCATCCATGCACTTTTCCTTCTGTTCCCACCCTTGAAAGCAGGTAATGACTACAAGGACTGGGCAACATTCTGATTCTGGGAGATGCAGCATTTAATGCTTGTGCTAATGGGGTGTTCTTGGAAACTTGGGAAGACCAGGTACTGCGTGTTGGAACAGAGCTGCTGTGAGGCAGGAGTCTGGGAGTGCTCTGTTGGTCCTGAACCCAAGCATAGTGCCTCTCTGTGCTGGGATGGACCCTCCTGTCAGCTGGCTGAGTCCTCACCTGGGCTCCATCTCATCACAGCTGGGGCTCCCTGCAGTTGCAGGCTCCTTCCCAGCCCTACCTGCTATGAATTCAGCCTGAGGAGATGTGGTATTTTAGGATCCAAGGGGTGGCAAACTGGCTGTGTAGCATGATTGGATGGCAAGAGACATACACACTGTGTCCCTCCAGACTCTGGCTCTCCAGGCCCAGGGACAATCTAGAATGAGATGTAAATATGGCTAGACAGGACTGGGGAGATAGGGGGTGACGTAGCCACCAGTGTCTGCCGGGCAGCTCCAGCTTCCTGATGCCAGCTCACATCTTGGTTTGTTTGATCAGGAATGAGTCAATGGGAGGAGAACCTGCTCTTTTAGACGCACCCAGGGTTCAGAGTGGCTTTGAAGGAAAGGGTTCTCTGGCAGAGCTGCAAGTCTGCAGTCCTTTTTGCATACACAGACTCGACCCACCACTGCCTTGTGAGCCCAGAGCCAGCAGCTGTGCTGAGCTGTGCTGTGCTGGGGGTTTTCTAACAGGAGGTAAACAAAACATTTTCAGAACCCATCAATGTTGGGAACATTCTATGCTCACTCTTGCTTTTGGTGGGTGAGATGGATCCCAGGAGCAGCTTGATTCTCACCTCCCTGTGTTTCCCTGCTCCAGGCTCTCAGCTTCTTTTACCCAGAATGCTGACACCAAGTTGCACTGCTTAAAATCTAGCTTAGAGTCCTGCTTTAAATTTCACATTCTCTTTTTTTGTTGTTTTTTTTTTGAGCTACATAAAGGCAATACTGGGAGGACAGAACAAAGCATGGGAGATAGAAGCACTCTGAAGTTGCTTTGAGTTCTCAGTACAAAGAAACATTACAGAACTTTCCCGTGCAACCAACAAAGAACAGTGTTGTGCTGTGAGTTTCCATTACAAACCTGTGTTCCTGTCTGTGATCTGCAGGGGAATGAAAAACCTTCCCACTGCCCTGGATAGACACTGCAGATCCCTTCTTCCATTTTAATAAATGAAGGTGGTGGTGATTTTATCTAACAATTCTGGCTTTCTGCAGGTTACCTAAAAGGTAGGGGATTAGTGCTCAACAGAATTGTAACTTGGAAGAATAGCACACACATCACCTGAAATATAGAAGCACTTCTCCAGCCAAGAATCAGTTAGCAGTGAGCACTGTGTGGTTGTTACCTGAAATAATCAGGCTACTGTGTCAACATCTACATCTAGTTATTTGCAGGCTGGCTTCCTCATTGCTAAGTAGAAATTATTGATACTGACATTTGGTTTTGTTGGGAGGGATTAAAGCAAATTCCCCAATCTGTTCCTAACAGCTTTATGTCTATTTGAATGCTCTTGTTAGCTGAACTTAGTTTTGAGAGATTACCCATATCTCATGTATTTTAGTTTCTCTTGAAATGTGTAATAAATAGTATCAGAATCTCTTTCTTTAAAGAGAAATCTCTTTGTACAGTTGTGCTGCCTCTTCCCCTGCCTCCATTGTGAAAGCTGCCAGAACTTCCAGACTGTGGGAACACAGGGACATAAATAACCTATTCAGGAAAGTGATCCATGAAGGGAAGGCCTTTCAGGGTAGCTAACACTGTCAGGTGTGTGTGCATCTGTCTCTGTGTTTGACTTGGAAGTAGTGAGGGGTCTCCCAGGATAGCTTCACCTTCCTGGAAGAAAGGAGGAAATGCTGCAAGGACTCAATGAACTTGCCTCTCATGAGAGATTTTGGCTCCGAGAGCCCCCATGAAGGCAGCAATTTCCTAATAAAGGCATCATTTCCTAATCATACGAGCAGGGGATCAGGTGGGAATTCAGTAGACTGGTGAGAGGGATTTCAGTAGCCTCTTGGTGTGTGATTGTAGCCCAAGCTGACGTGGTTGGAGCTGCCTGGTGGCTCCTCTTGGCTGCGGTAAGACCGGCCTGGTAACCAAGCTCTGGCAAGCTGAGCTGTTGGTTCCCTCACCAGAAAACCAAAAGGAGAGAAGGACTAGTGTGGTGACTCCTTTAATTCCCAAGCACTTTTCCCCAGGCTGTGTTGTAATTAACATCCCAAAGGGAGCTGAAGACCTCATTAAGTCAATTTGATTGAAGGGGAGGTTTTCAAAGGTCTTCCTCCAGATACCAGGCAGTAGGCAGCAGCTGGGTGAGCAGCACCTTGCTCTGCCACCCAAGGCCAGGAGGGCTGAGAGGTGGGTTTCCTCTGCCACTGGATGTTACAAAGTCCCTTTCCCTCAACAGGCCAAGCCTCAGCTCTGAAGAAACACGGCTGGGAGTTGAGAAGTCCTTGCTTCGTTTCTGATGGTGTTGAAGCAGCTCTGCCTCTCTGGCCATGCTCATCTCAGAGCTGTGGCCACCACTGAGCTGTCCCACGCTCACAAAGCATCCTTGTGCTCCTCCAGAGTGAGCAGCACAATCCCTTGAGACAGGCTAATAAGTAGCTCGTGACTGGAGTTCCAGTTCACATAGTTCAATTAAATCCCTGTTAATCTTGCTCAGACCTAATTTACTTTCATTCTCATACACATGTTTTTCCCTGCTCCAGAGGGGTTCTGGTGAGGTTCCCTGCTGGCAGGAACTGAAGAGCCCAAAGCCATCTTTGAAGAGGACTGATGTTTGCAGAGCAGCCCCCTTGTCCAGTCAATATGAGCTACGATTATTTCCCAGCCTGTCATGAAGAGTATGAAAATCCCTCAGTGCCTGACTTTCAGGGAGGGTCAAGGCTTGATATGATGATGCTCAAGCAGAAAATCAGGAAGCTGTAGGAGGGCAGGACATCCTCAGTATCTCTGTTTCCCAGGCCACTGTTGAACTGTTCCCCTGTGTGTGTGTGCATTCATTCTTGGACAGCTGAGAGCTGAGGTGCTGGACTTGTCTCTTGGGAGCCTCTCTTACAGGCTGGTACTTCTTTCAGGCAGAAGTGATGCTGGGCACAGCCCATGGCCTGCAGGCATCGAGATGACTATTGATTGAGTTGTTTGTTTATTCATCTCATGAGGCATCAGAGCCTGACTGCAGTGAGGAAAGGGGATGATGAATGGAGAGTGTTGGAGTACAGAGAGCAGGGCTGCTCTTCAGTGGTTAGGCTGATTGCCAGCTTCAGCTGGCGAGGGAGGGGTTCTGACCCTCCTTCTCTTCCTCATCCAACCAGAAGGGATGATTTGGTTGGGGAATGTTCCCTTTCTCTCTGGCAAGTGACACGGGCAGTAATCAATGTTTGCATTTCTTCTTAAATTGGCAGTTACTGCAGGTCCAAGGTCCTGCTCTTCTCCTCTGGTAGTTTGTGGCTTTTGAGTGGTTGTTTGTGGGGGTGTTTTCTGGCTTTTGGTACCTGGCCCAATGTGCAGTAGTTAGACTAAATGTCTCTTGCTTGGGGCTGGCAATTGGAGGATGACGAACTCAGCTCCCTGCTTCTCCCTTGAAATTCATATTTTATGTTGATTCTTCCCAATTTGTGGCTTTTCTGTCACCATAATTCACTCCTGTGCCCCTTCTTGTTGCTTCCACCCTGTAGACTTATGTCTATAGCAATCCTTCTGTCCTTGCAGTCAATTTTTACCTGCCAGTGACAGGCTGTGGGTCTCACCTGCTGTTGCAAGGACTGATGCAAAGAACAAACACTGGGACAAAGAACATCTGGGATGAAGGAAACCACCCCCTTGTAACCAGCCGCTTCACCGGGTGTTTCTCTTCCCTGATGTTTTTGTTCAACCAGCAGATGTAAATGCTGAGGAAGGACAGCTCTCCAGCTCAGGAGCCCCAGGCAGAAGCTGTGCCATACCCACCAGCCCACCCCTGAGCCATCAGGAGTTAAAACCATCAAACATGACACTTCCAAGCTCTTGGGTTGAGCGAGTGCTGCGGTGCTGCAGTGCTTCGCACCACCCGTGCAGATCCTGCTCCTCCCCAGCACACGCAGATTTGTCTTGTGCAATCCCAAACCTCTCTCAGGGCTCACTTCCCTTCTCCCAGCTTCCCTGGTTTCATTTAGTGCCTGGAGGCCCTGGTGTGGCTTTGATGCTCTGTGCACCCTGCGTTGCCAGAGGCGCGAGCAGCTGGGGAACAATAAGTCCTGCTGAGGAGCAGAGGGACACAGAGCGGGTGGCTGGGGCTTGAGAGGCTCACAGGTTCCTCCACGACTTAAGTCCAGCCTTTTTGGCTGGTAGGTACAAGGTAAACCTGCTTTGGGTCACGTCTTTGCTTGTTAAAAACATCTACTGCCTGGTGATATCGTACTTGACGAGCTTGGCTCCCAAACGGGGGTGCTGTGGGTGGAGGGGGTTGAAGGGCTCTCACTTCTTCCTATCAGCAGTTCCAGGCCAGGAGCTGTGTCCCTGGTACCACGCAGTCCTATTTACATGCTGAATGCAGCATTCCTTGTCTGTGAAACCTGCACTCTGGATGGTCCCCCCTGTTTCTTGCCAGAAGGCTCTCATGTGCTGCCC